GCAGTTACCCTAAAATACCTTGCCCAAATGGCTGGTCTTTAGCTAGTGTCTTATAGATGGTTGTGGGGTTTGGGGGCGATAGGTGGAAGTCACAACTGTGTTTCAGCCCAATCTCTACGCATGCATATTTCCCAGCGGGAGTCACTGGGTAATGACCAGGAGCAGAAACCCTGCATAATCCCACCAAACCAAAAGTTACTAAAGCCACTTGTAATGCCCCTTTCTTTCTAAAGAGTGGGGATGGAACCTGTTCCTTGTGGGTGAGCATCAAGCTAACAGTTGGATTGACATGATGCCTTGGGATATTCATGGCTGTAGTGGTGTGCCTGTATGGAATGCCTCTGCTATTGTAACTGACATTACAAAGCAAATAGTGAACAAAAGGAATTTCTTACCACCATGTTTGTTGCAGTGAAATATCACTGCAGCTGTCCATCTGTTATACAGATCACTGAAATGGGTGGTAAAATACACCTTTTTAACATTCCTCAGAAATCAGATTCTGATTATTGTAAAGGTGACTGCATTTGATTATCTTTCTTGATTTCTGGGTTCTCCAGCAATGGTACCATTGACTGAATGATGCTCCTGTAAGCAATACAGCCAGTGACAGTGCACACGCGCTAATCAGTGCCCACTGCAAATCAGTGCCCACTGCAAGCCTCAATGCGAGACACGAACTGACATGAGTTTTTTCTCTTTCTATTCTAGGGCTTAACTGGTCCAATTGGTCCCCCTGGCCCAGCTGGTCCCAACGGAGAGAAGGTAAAGATGAGGATGAGGTTTATGTTTGTGCAAAATGTACTGAAGTCGTTTTTGATAATTTATAAAAATAAAAGCATATTAACAAAGAGAGCATTTGCCTGATTGATACAGGAGGTAGTCACATGCTGCTGCTTCTTGTTTTCAGAAAAAAATACATTAGGTGAAATGTTTCAGTCTAAAATCTCAGCAGTTCCTCACTGTAGCTGTTCCCTTTTCTCTTGTGTTTCCTTTAGGGTGAAGCAGGCCCTCGTGGTCCTACAGGTGCTGCTGGAGCTCGTGGTGCCCCTGTAAGTGGAAGCAGTTGAATTCCTGGGTTTCTGTTAAAACCAGAGGACAATGCAAGTCCTCACCCAACTATATTCTTGGGTTTACCAGAACTCAACCTGAGGAGTTAAGATGACCAAACATAACTTGTTAAGCATCTACTCGTTCTGATAAAATTCCATGCTGCAGGTTGAACCATTAATGCTCACTGTTCACGAGTTGGTGACAAGGGAGCCAGATGCTTCTGGTTCGAAGTCAACCTGAATTGGGACAAATTGCCTTGGTTGTTGGTGAGTTGATCCGTGAGATTGACAGCTCACTCTCGGGTTGACCGGAGCGAGACTGCAGTGTGATTGGAATGCACTTGAACTGGGGCAACTGGAAAGCACAATTCTAAAGTCCACGTATGTCCTTGTATAATTATGGCCCACTCAATACAGCAACCTGTATTGCAACAACATCTAACAAGCCCCCGAGGAGAAACTGACTCCAGTAGTTTGTATCAGTACAGTGTAGCCAGAATCTGAGATGTCTCGGATTTAGCCATTGTGAATGACTTTGTAGCTAGTGGCATATATTCCTTAACATTGTTGTTCAAGATTTCTCAGAAGTGAAATACATTATGCTTCAGATTATATCAATAATCGATGAAAAGTCTTAGCTATGTATTCACTTGTAATTACTGCACAATTATAATGCCCGTGTAAACTTGTCAAATTGCAATTACTCCCTCCCTTCAATGCGACACAAACCCTGGTGGACATATTTAATCTCAGCATGACAAAGTAGCATAAACTATTTCCATGGCAATTGTGCACAGAAGAATTTATGTCAACAATATATGTCTTTAACCTCGAGGCTAACTCTGGTTTCCTTCACCTGATGAAGACTCCTGCAATGCGTGATGGTACAGGAGACTGACTAGTTTACAACGAAGTTAGTTTATTAGTAACTATGGAGTATTTCAAGCTGGGCTTACCTTGCTGTCTCACCTGTGATGCTATTTGGGATTTCTCAGTTCTTGCAGGTGTGAAAATGTCAGTTACTCAATTCAATTGAGACAAGTAGAAACAGGCCTCATAGAAAAATGTTCAGAGAAGACGGGAATGAGCATCAAAGAGAGACTGTGATAACAGACTGGCACCAGAGATATGAAGAAATGCAGAAGATATAAAACAGTAAAGATGATAAAGTGAGGCTGGTCAAAACTAACAAAGGGATTTACAGGTGGAGGCAGGGTCATAGTTAAGTTACTAAATGAGTACTTTGTACTTGTCATTACCCAGAAAGAGGACGCTCCCCAAGTCACTGTGAAAGAGGAGGTGGTTGAAACACTGACTGACTGGACTAAAAATGGATAAAGAGGAGGTTTTAGATAGGCTAGCGAGAACTAAAGTTGAGATGGGACATTTGTGAGGATATTGAGGGAAGTAAGATTGGAAATTGCAAAAGTATAATCTTCCAAGATCCAGGAGTGTTGTTAGAGGACAGGGGAATTGCAGATATTAAGCCCTTGTTCATAAAAGTGGAGTTGAGGCCTGAGATCAGCTGTGATCATATTGAGCGGCAGAGTAGGCTCAATGGTCTACCCCTCCTCCTATTTCTTATGTTCCTGAGTGTAAGGGTGAAGCCAGCTACAACAGATCAGTTTTGCCTTGGGTGGTGGAAAAGCTTTTAGAACCAATAAGCTGGGACAAACTTAACAGCATTTTAATGTGAAAGAGGAGGAGAGGCAATGCAAAATAAAAGAAAGAATTCTGAAGAAGGTGCAGGATTAGATGGATCTGGAGGTACATGTGCACTAATTTTGCAGGGCTGTGGTAGAAGGGCAGGGAAGTGGGGCTTGCTGAGTAGCTCTTGCAGAGGGGATGCATGCACATGACAAGCCAGCTGGCCTGTTTCTGTGCTGTAACTGTTCTATTATTTCCTATTTGGTGGAACATGAGGAATAATGCTTTGACGTATGACACCCCTACACCAATATTATCAGTTTATTCAGTGCTGCCACTGGTTTCTGTGTGTGACCTTGCCATCTTTGTGTTTCAGGGTGAGCGTGGTGAGACAGGTCCTCCTGGCCCTGCTGGCTTTGCTGGTCCTCCCGTAAGTATTGGTTCAGAAACAATAAGCTAACAGTCAGATGCACATAAGCTGGTCAAGTTCTACACAGCAGAGGTCTATGGTTCTACATGATAGAACTTTCTTTCCACAAGTTAATCCGAGTATTGTTCCATTCAGACTAGTGGCCAGTGATCTGGTCAGCAAGCTCCACTCAGAAACCACCAGTCCCACTGCCACATCAGTGCTGTTCTGCCACTAGGAGATGTAAGTTTACATCAATAGCCAGCTATTAGATAGAGGTGGTGATATAATGGTTATGTCACTGAGTTAGCATTCCAGAGCCCCAGGCTAATGTTCTGGGAACATGGCTTTGAATCCCACTACAGGAGATAGTGAAGTTTGAATTTGACTTTTTTAAAAAAAAATCTGGAATTAAATCTAATCTAATGGCGACCACATAATCATTATCATAAAACCCATCTGATTCACTAATGCCCTTTCAGGGAAAAAAAAATCTGCCATCCTTACTTACATGTGACTCCAGACCCACAGCAGTGTGGTTGACTCTTAACTATCCTCTGAAATGGCTGAGCAAGCCACTCAGTTCAAGGGCAGTTAGGGATGGGCAAATTCTTTAAATGCTGACCCTACCAATGACACCCACATCTCATGAAGAAATTAGAACAACTGATTCCATCTGTCCCAACAGCTGAAGGGCAAACGTATATGTATAAGATCTCCTGCTGGCTATTTCAGCCTTGATGCTTCCCATCTAGATCCTCATTCAGGATTGGTCCCCTAGCTGCTGAAGAGTAGAATCTCAATGCATCAAGCTATATCTTTGATGATGCATTTATCTTTTTTCTCTTCCTAGCTGCTGGAGGTTGCAGGTCTGCCTAGACTCTTTGCTCTGAGTGATAAAGGATACAATATTTTCTGCCTCATTGGGATCATCCACCTCCTACATTCCCCCGGATTATGGAGGCCCAATTGCCCTAATCCCTGCCTTGGCTGATGAGGATCATGTTCTCCCTGATGTCCAGATCTCAGTCCAGGATCCCTACCTAGGTGATGAGGGCCAGGAACTCCCCCAGCTGATGGCTAGATCTCCCTCTGGGCTTCATGCCCTGGCTGATAAAGATTTTGATTCTGACCTGGTCTGATGGAGACAACATCATCCTTCTAGGAACCCTTCCCTGGCCAATGAGAGGTAGTATTCTACCCCTACCACCATAACAGTTAACAGAGACAAGCTCTCTCTCTCTCTTCTCTAAGGTTGAATTTCCTGGCTCACGCAGGAGAAAACTCCATCTGAAACAAGGGGGTCAGTGTTAAAATTCTTTCACACAGAGGATCAGGAAACTTTGGTGGTGGAAACAGAGTCCTTGGGTATTTTTGAGCCAGAGGTAGATAGATTCTTGATAAGCAAGAGAGTGAAAAGTTATCTGAGGTCAGGAGGGAATGTGAAGGAATCAGATCAACCATGATCTTGTTGAAGCAGCTGAATGGCCTATTCCTCCCAATCTGTCTGTATGTATGTAATCTCTGCCCTAGCTGATGGAGACCAGTTCTCTGTCTTCGTCAACTGCCTTGGCTGGTGAAGGCAAGATTGTGTCCCAGCCTGCTGTTTGTTGTTTTTCGAGTTTGCTAAGGTTGTATTTTCCCAGTGACAGGGCTCTGCAGTGTACTGTGTACTGACAATAACACTCCTGTACCTCCTTTTCTATAGGGTGCAGATGGTCAAGCTGGTCCTAAGGGTGAACCTGGCGAGGCTGGACAAAAAGGTGATGCTGGTGCTCCTGGTCCTCAAGGTCCATCAGGTGCTCCCGGTCCACAGGTAAGACACAAATATATTACGAATAGTTCTGTAAAACTAGTGGATTTCACCAGCAGAGGCATTATGTTGGCATAGATTCACAAGGGAAATCCCTTTCTGTCTCTTTTCAGGGTCCAACAGGTGTTACTGGGCCGAAAGGCGCTCGTGGTGCCCAGGGTCCCCCTGTGAGTATGGTTTTATTCATTTAAAGTTTTTAAACAAAATGCAAGTTGGTAAATATTACCCTTGATAGCTAACATGCTCTAAGAATGTTGTATTAAGCTAAGACTAGGACTTCTAGTCCTCTGTTTGCAAGTGTTTTTCAGACATTATCTTATAAGTGACTGTCTTGTCCAGAAAATTTGTGCCGTTTATTTGATATCCAAACACTAGTTCAGAGTTTATTATGTACAGGAATCTCTTCATCACCCACTTGGATTCTGCAGATGGGATCCAGAAGCCAGTTAGCTGGAGTCAGAAACTGGTTACTCAATGCTCAGGATGGTTAGGAACCTGGCACTGGGAGCCAGAATCCAATTGGATTCTAGCAGCTTGCAATGGGAAATTGAAGGGGACAGCTGGGAACATAATCTGGTAGATGCTCCTCAACTCCCAAAATCTAGAGTTTGGGATCTGGACTCTAACAGCTTGAAGCCAAGAGCTTTCAACCAAACACTAGTATACAGCAGTTTTTTTTTAGAAGCCAGGAGCCAAGAGTTGACAACTGAAATCTGGGGACAAGTAGCTAGAAATCCTGAAAACTAACTTTGGAATTTAGAACAAAGAAGCTACTGGAATGTGAGCGAATAGGACCAGTTGCAAGTTGGAGGCTACTGAGAACAGCTGAAAATCAGTAACAAGCATCTGGCTCGTAAATCTATAAAAACCTTTAGCTAGTTATTGGTTTTGCCTCTTTAAACATAGTTGTCCAATAGCTTTCACCGATTGTGCAGAGCAGCACTGTGTCTAGCGGCATGACTTAAATATGTTGAAATGGTATTTGGATCCTCTACACCCACATTCAGTCTAAATCTTTGCCCTTTTCTTATTATGTTGATAGCCACATAGTTCACCAGCTCATTCGCAATAACAGAAGATATTTTTGAACTGTTTGTGACATCATTTGGTGACAGATTTAATGAAAATCCAATTTGCATTGTATTCAGGTGTTCGAAACACATGCTGTGCAGCAGGTTAATCAGTCCTGACCTCTGTAGATAACACAGAAGATGTAGTTTAGTCAATATTCTAACTGACTGTACCTGCATTCCATCTCCCACCAAGAGCACCATGTACACTCCCCCAGCCTCCACATATTACTGTCTACCCACCCATTTAATCCCCCTCCCACAGCCCCGTGTACACTAACCCCCCCATCACTGACCCTACCCACCCATTTAATCCCCCTCCCATAGCCCTGTGTACATTCTCTCCCCAT